TACTTATTTCCGCTTGAAGTTTTCTAAGACATTCCTCTTTGCTACATGTTTTAACAACAAATTCATCTTCGGTCAGTCCTATTCCGCAATATAGGCAAAAATATCTCTTATCTTCGTTATTTTTTTTTCTTCCTTTAGCTATTTCTAGGTTTATCTCGGCTTTTAAGTCAGTTAAGTTCTGAAAAAAATTGTCGTATCTGTGCAAGGTCTCGAATTCACTAATACCTGATTCTCCTAAACGACCTCTTATGTAGCAAACTTTAGCATTTAATTTGCTGTTGGAATGCTTTTTCCAAATGGACATAACTTCTTGAAATTTTTTTTCTAAATCAGTTATTTTTTTAATTCTCTCTAAGTCTTCTTTAATTTCTTTTATAACCCCTTCATCTCGATTTCAAGGAGGAAAATAATTGTTGAATTCTCTTAAATACTTTTGCTTTTCATTATCATCGTTAACCATAAACTAGAACTTATATATTAATTTTAGGTTAGTTAGATGAAAAAACCTAAGCTACTAGGCTATTTTCTCTCGTCCCTCACAATATTATAAAGAGCATAAATAGCCAATCCAACTAGAATGTTTTCTAAAGTTAAAACTTCTCAAATTCATCCGCGGTCAGTATCATAAGTTAGACTAGTAGAGTTAATAGTTTTATTGTTATTTTTTATTTGGTCTTCTAAGCCTTTTATTGTTTTAAAGAGGTTTTTATTTTCGTTTTTATCTTTATTTAGTTCTTCTTCCAATAAGATTACCCTATTACTTCATTTTTTTCTTTCTTCCGGACTAAGGTTAGTGTCTTTTGATTTAGCCTTGGCTTCCTCTAATTCTTTTTCTTTTAGTTTAATTTTCTTTTCTTTCTTTTCATACTCATTTTGTTTTTCATCAAGTTTAGGCTGAGCTATTTTATTAGCCTCCAAAGCGGCTTGTCTAGCGGCTTCGCGGTCTTTGTATTTCAGGCCTTTGAGTTTTTGATTCTTTTTGTAAGCTTCGGTAACTTTATGAGTACAAAAGACTGCTCCACATACGACACAGGCTGCTTTAATCACCGCAAAAAGGGCGACAAAAGGAAAAGGCATTAGTTATTCTCTCCTTTAAGTTGATTGTTTTTTTCGTTCATAGTTAATTCTTGTTTAATAATTTCTAATTGTTTAATAAGTTGGCTAAGTTCTTTGTGGTATTTTCCAATTTGGTTGGCTCAGGTTTTAAGGTTGGCTTTGGTATCGGTGATTAAGGTTTCGATTAGTTTTATTTTTTCTTTTAAGTTTGATTGTTTGTTCATAATTCAGTTATTTATTAAGGTGGGCATTTGGGCAGGGCTATCAAGGGCTTCGGTTTCTTCTTTGGCTTCCCATCCCACTTGATATTTGGGCGAGCATGGTGCTAATTTCCCCCAAAGAATTTCTTATTTCAGTCGCGGTATTAGCTTGGCCGTCACCAATTTCAAATCTAATTTCTTCAGTTTTTTGCTTTAATTCATTTAAGCGAGTGTCAATGGTTTTACTTATTTGGTTGGCACTACTGATAATATTTTTTTCAACTCCGGTTAATATTTCTTCAATTTCGGTTTTTCGAGGATTAATAAATTCGCCTTCAAAGTTCTCTAATTGCTTGCTATCATATAACCTTCAAAAGAATTCAAAAAACTCACCTCATTGGATACCTTTTTGTTTGATTATTTCTTCACCTTGTTCGTTAGTTTCTTTTACTTCATTTAATTTTTCTTGGGTTTTGTCATTGTTAATAAATTTGTTTCAAAACGAAAGGAAGTCTTTATCAAAAATTATCTTGTTAAATCTATTAACTCACTGATTATCTTCATCTTTTAAAGTTTTATTTTCGGTTCAGTGCTGAGGAAATTGGCTACTAATGCCGGCATCATCAGAATAATTTATAAACTCGCCTAGAGTTCAACTAAAACTCAAAGGGTTGCTTAATCTACCGGCTTGATAAATGGCCATATTTATACTGTCTAGGTGATTAGTAGCGGCAATTCAGAGGTTTTTGCTCTCTTCGGTTTTATTGTCACTGCCCATACATTCTTTTAAAAAAGTTAACTCAGTGGAAGCTTGGCTAGGTGGCAAAGAATTGGTAGTGCATGCTTGATCCGCCTCATCCAAAAAAAGTATGTAGCGAATTTCGCCATCTTCTGCTCTTTCAAAGCCATAATCATCTGCTAAATCATAAGTTATACTGCTAATGGTAAAGATAAATTTTATCAAAGGATCAACTCCGTTATCTTTTTGGGGCTTGTTAGGAGTCAAGCTTGAGCCTTGAATCACTACCAAAGGATAAATATTAGCCTCATAAGCTAACTTTTCGGCCATAACTGATTTACCGGTTCGCGGAGCACCATAAAATAAAGCATTATTGTCTAAATTGCTTAGATCGTTAGGATCCATTTCGCCTCTCACGGGGTTAGTTTTAACTTTGTTTTCTCATTCTTCGATTAGCGGACTAAACTTATAGCCATGAACTTCATCTCTTAAAGTTAATTCGCCATGCCCGTTAGATTTGGCTAATTCTTGTTGTTCCTTGGTCAATTCATTTCAAAGAGAG